TGCAGTTGTATGCTTTATGTATGCTTTTGAATACGAAATAAGTAATATACGCGACATAATCCGTAAAACTAGTTTTATTTAAATATCTTACAATATTTTAAGAATAAAATGATAAAAATGTAACAAAAAATATTAATATAAAGTTACAGCCTATATAAGTCCCACAGCTGGGCATAAACCTCATTTCATTTCCGTATCTCTTCAAAAGAAATTTTCCATTTCGATAGTTTATAATTGAATAATTTTTGATCTTAATTTTTCTGACGTATATACAAAGTAGATTTGTAAGTACTAATTAATTGAAACAGATTTTTTTTTAATTCACTATAGTTTAAATTAGTAACTACTTACTCCCACCAGGTAGGGCTAACAAAAAACACTTGCCAAAAAATTGCAACATGTTATGTACTTATACATAAGGATTTTACAATATTATAACTTTAATACTTCACGTCAATGACCGTATAAAAATCAAAATAAAAAACAAGTGAACAATAAAACACAGTTAATTTATTTCTCTATAAATTTTTAGTTTCTATAAAAACGCAATAAAAATCACAAAAGAATAGAAGGGGAGTTGATCGAGCAAGTAGATGAGTTTGTATATTTGAGTTGCGTATTTATGATGGAAATATGATAAGGATATTATAGAACGACGTGTGAACGCAGGAAATAGAGTAAATGGGGCCCTACACTCTATTGTGAAGAGTCAAAATGTGTCGAAAAAAGCACGTATGGCAATTCACAATGCTGTGTTGGTCCCTATTTAACGTATGGTAGTGAAAGTTGGGTGTGGCAGAAGAAGCACGAGAGTCGATTAAATGCAGTAGAAATGCGGTCGTTAAGGAGTATGTTAGGGCTGAATCTGAATGACAGGGTGAGAAATTGTGTGATAAGAGAAGAGTGTGGTTTGCAAGATGGTGTTGTGACCAGGATTAAGAAAAGAATGCTTCGGTGGTTTGGTTATGTAGAAAGAATGAATGAGGAAAGAGTGACAAAGAAAATTTATATTGCAGAAGTGAATGGCAGAGTCGGAAAGGGACGTTCTAGGCGAAAATTTATCTACCAAATTAGCGATTTATTAAAAACGGGCCAAGTTAGGAGTACCCTTAACCGACGAGCTTGTATGCGTAGGTATATGGATGTGGAGGAGGCGAGAGAGGTGTGTCAGGATCGTGCAAAATGGAAGTCTGTAGTCTCTGCCTACCCCTCTGGGTGACAGGCGTGAGTGTTGATATATATAACGCTAATAATCTGGTTTCTTCTCTTCTTCGGTATCTAGCAAACACATTTTATATGTTGTTATCGTAAAGGTAAATATATACAACACACACAATAACAATACAAACACAATACGCTTCATTATACTATTCATTCATTTCATTACACTCCATAATACAAACAATACCCTTCATTATAATTTTCAAAATATGTTACAATTATCTTTAAAACAAAATATTTTCATTGTGATTTCTTATATTTACGCGAACACTACACATGATTAAAACTACTTTTACGGATTTTATCGCGTTTATTTTTGCTTTTAATTACTTTTATTTTTAATTCCCGACGTTTCGGGCGCTTTCCAGCACCCATGGTCACGGGGGACTGAGATGACTGACGTCCCGATTTCATTGTTAAAGCCGGAGTACCTTCAGCTTTTTTAATTATTGTTTATGGTCCGATCTATGCAAATACATAGTCAGTTCATTTTGTTCCTCATGTAATTAAAAGCAAAAATAAACGCGATAAAATCTGTAAAAGTAGTTTTAATCATATTTTCATTGTCCCGTACATTGAACAACGCTTAACCTGTATACCTGATAACCTGCTGAGAAGAACCTAAATCTGGAGTTAACAAGGAGACAGATCGATACTATATATTTAAGTTATTAAGATAAGTAAGATGACGTTGTAATGAATAAATTTAGACGAAGTTAAAAATATAGTAACGGCTGCATTATTTAAGTAAACTTGTTTACTTTAAACAAGTTCAGTATTCTTTTTGCTTGATCGATTTTTTTTTATAGAATAGGGTGTTTTTTTATACAAACGAGCACACAGTCCACCTGATGGTAAGTGGTTGCTGCGGCCCATAGACATCTACATCCATCCTCCATTAAAAATCAAAATGCAGATGCGTTGTCACACGTGAGGACTGAGATGGAATGCCTCGTTTCCAGTAAAAAGGGTCTTCGGTTCTCTACACTCACCATACGAAATACAGCAGCATTAAGCTACTATTTCACGCTGCTATTCTGTGAGAGCGTGGTCCCTCCCCGGTCGAGCCGACCCATTCGTGCTACAACTATACTACTAATATAACTGCAGCATGGCTCTACCACGTATAAAATCGATTCTTGCATGAGCCTTTTTAATTTCGTTATATTTTTGTGTAACCCAGGAAATAAATATTTTTTTATTTACATAACACGTATTATACAATAATAACAACAATAAAACGCTTGATACCCAAAAAACCAACCTTTCACAGTATGGTACTAAGAACGCTGGTTGTGTTTCCTCGCGGAATTGCTATAGCGTAAAAAAAGTTTATTTGGTGAGATAGGCAATTTGGCGATAGATTTTCAAAAATCATTCACGACGTTACCTTTGCACGTAGTTACGTTAAATGATGTGTTACTGCGTCTCTTTCCAACTTGCGGCAAACTGCTTTCATTATTTCAAGAATTTTAAGTCTTTCACCAAATTGCCTATCTCATCAAATAACTTTACATTACCTTACTTAGTCTTTGGGTGGGAGAAGACTGTTTGCTACTAAATAGAGGAGAACGAGACGTAGTTGCTGAATCATTTCTCTAAAAACTTTACCGCGCGTGGATTCCACGGTCGGTGGTATCTACAGAAAATTGCTCAATTACATACTCATCTCCTAGTGACAATTATTGATATAGTGATATTATTAACATTTAGGTGCTTATTTATTTTAGGTAGGTAAAGGAGCTGCCTCTGATGCCGCCCGTCTTTAATAGGATACACTGGAAAGGTAGATTTTGCAATAAATATTTTGTAAGTAGGTATACTATTGTTACATAAAAAATGTCCTTTATATTATTAAGCTGTCTTTCAATTTACATTAATGAACGAAATTTCTTTATTATCTATTAAAAGTTAATATATCATTCTATGAATAATAAATATATTCATCACATTAATTGCAGTCGAGGCTTGGATCCAATCTACTTATTCCTTGCCAAAGTTTTGAATTATAATAATTATTTTTACGGCGATGCTTTCAAAAGATTACTGATTTGATATTTAGAATGATACATAATGTCCTCCAGTCCGAATTTCGGCCACGGCGGCCTGCCTCAACGGAGGCTAGCCATCGGCGCAGGACAGGATTATAGTGCCCAAGTGTATGCGCAAGCACAGGTGCACTCTCTAATCCCTCACTCTCGTAATCCGATGGGACGGTAAACCGACACGATCGGGAGAGAGATCAGGCGCTGGACCAACGGCTTTACGTGCTTCCCGAGGCACGGGGGTGAGACACCGCCAACTTCCTGACTCCGGGCAGCTACTGAGAATTTCTTGACAGAAAAACTCAATAATTGATCTTTTGGCCCGACCCGGGATTTGAACCCAGGACCTCATGATCAGCAGTCGCACTACTACAACCACTAGACCAACGAGGCGGTCAGAATGATACATACATACACAGGGTATGTAAAGAAGACCAAAGAGTACAATCTGCCACTTTGCCTTGTGTATGTGGACTATGAAAATGCCTTTGATTTCGTCGAAATTTGGGCGGTGCTACAGTCCCTTCAGTGGTGCTAAGTTGACTGTTGATATATCAAAGCGCAGAAGTGTTTGTATAGTAGGGCTACGATGGCTATCCGAGTACTAAACCAGAGTACGAAACCTATCCAACTGCAGAGAGGTGTAAAGACAGGGTGACGTTATATCCCCGAAACTCTTCACCGCTGCATTGGAAGACGTTTAAAATCTACTGAACTGGAAATGAAATACCGTATGGTATCTACATCAATCATTGGTATATACATCAATGGCGAGTACATCAGTCATCTTCGATTTGCCGACGATATAGTCCTTATGGCAGAATCACTGGAGGACCTAACCACTATGCGCAATGACCTCAATAGTGACTGCCAACGGATAGGTCTTAAGATGAATATGGGCAAAACAAAGATCATGTATTTCTATGTCACATCTATGCCAGTCGTTGTAAAGAACAACACTAAGCTGGCCATATAGCTCGAAGAACCGACAACCGTTGGGAAAAAAAGGTTCTCGAGTGGCAGCATAGTACCGGTAATTTATCTTATGTAAGAGAGAGCACATTCTCCTGCATTTAGCAGAGGGATATTACTGATAGTAATAACTGACTAATTTTCTTCGGCGGCTTGAGGTATGTTTAAAAGCACGCTTTAAGACGTAGCCAATCTTGTCATTGACTCCTCTGACATATGGCACTACAACAAGCAGACGCTAGACTGTAGCTGTAAATATTAAATATTCATGAAGGACTTAGCATATATATTCATGGAGGAGAAAACCCTTCTTACTTCTGTAAATCCGAAAATAGGTAAAATTTCCCGAGATGTGATTCCAGAGATAGATGAACTATCCACATACATAATTAGGGTTATTACGTAGTTATTAACTGTTAAAAGTTAAACTTAAATCGTTTATAGATCCCACTGCTGGGCACAGGCCTCCTCTCATTTCTTAGAGGCTTTTAGGGCAAGGAAGTGTCCGCTGCGCTGTCTTCTACATGCAACAACTTCACATGTCTACGAAATATGTTTTTTACTATTCCTCACAAACATGCACGTTTCCTCACGATGTTTTCTTTCACCGTCAAACACATAGTAAATCAGTATTTAAAATTACAATTAACAATTTTATTGGTACCGGCGGGGATTGAACCCGGGTTTCTCGTGTGCTAATTTACAGCGAGCGCTAACCATCTGAGCTATATATATATATAATATTTTAAAAATAATACATACATTATTTTTGGTCTCCTTAGTGATATCAGCGTTGAAAGCACGTCGGACAGTCGAGTGGTTTGGTGGGTGGTTCGAAGGATTGTTGGCACTGCCAGCGCCCGGCTGAACCAAACGAGCTGCGCCATGAAATACCTTTAGATAAAAAAATGTAAACATTATTATATTCTGGTGTATTTGGTAGAAAATCCAAGTGGAGGGAAGATAGAAGAATTAATAAAATTCCTTGAGACTGGAGATCATACAGAAAATACTGATGGAGTATCTGAATCAGAATTTAGGGAAACTGAATCATCACCAGAGTTTTTAGATTTCAGCTCCGATAGTAGTGATGATTATAAACCTAACAGTGAACTGGATACAAGTCAAGTTACTTATAAAAATAGTAAAAGTATATATTCGTAGTTTGAACGTCCCGTTCACATTATACGAGTAGTTAATGTTTGGTATTTAACGTGTACTCCTACATACATAAACTCTTGTAATTAAAAATTATATTTCATGCACAATATGAATGTAAAAGTTTTCAAAAAATGGCAACAGAAGGTTTATGCACAATATATTATGGTGTCTCTGCTATTCAGTAAACCGTCTCAATAATTAACGAGGAAAATGGTTCAAATGCAGTGTAAAAATCACTACACCTTACAACAACAAATTTGAAAAGCGTGAATCATGTATACTGTAACTTCCCTTGAAATGCGAATTAAGAAATCACCACGTAGCAAGTATATGGCAGACGGATTGCATCTTCGACATATGGAGAGCAGCTTCTGACGTGAAACTTTGACACTTAAATTGTCATCAATTTGTTATCAATGGATATCGTTTTATGGATGTCTTTTGTGTGTACGCAATGCGGACTTAAGAAGTCAAACACTAAGGTCGGCCACATATATACGGAATTCCGAATCGGGATTCCAAACGCAGCAAGTGCATATAGAGTCAAGGACCTGTTACACACCTACGGTAGTTTTCCGTTTTAAATTTTGCGGAGAAAACGGGAATCCGTTTCGGAATTACGAAACGGATTTCCGTATGTAGTGTGTAGCGGGACTAACACATCTTTCGAGTTCTGTTAAATTCCTAACATTTTAAAAATAATATGACACATAAATATACAAAGAATTCTTGCAAGTTTTGCATTTTACAGATTTGTTAAGTGTACCCCTAAAGATAGTTAAATGTTTATACTACTTACCTATGGGAGTATAAACATTTAACTATCTGTCGGGTTAGGCGATAGACCGTCAAGCTATATATAGAACGTTATAAGTACGTTATTAGATATAGTAAATTGAAGCGAGATTAATCCTTGAAGCAATTTCAATGTCACCAACAGTGATTGGAATGCAAATGATAATGTTTTGTATTCAATGCCGCATTGCTTTAGCTATTGAAATAGGCAATCAAGCGGTGCTCCTGTTTCTGAATGCATTAATTAATTATCTATGTTTATTAGTCTGCTTGTAAAATTAAACTGAAGACTATTTTGAAAAACATGTTTAGTTTTGCAAAGGGATTATCATTTTAATTTCGATTACATGAAGCACGTTTTATCAACGTTTCAATTTAATAAACAGAATTGAACATAAACCAATCTATTCTCTGATCTTAACCCAGAAACAAATGTTTTTCTGCATGTGTAAATACAATATCACTAACGTTAAAACTTCTTGTATATTTACGATGAGTTTAGACGGATTAACTGCCCACTGCTAGATCCGTCGCAATTTAGATGCAGTTCCACGTCATTGTTCTAGGTAGCTACAAAATATCGTAACTGGCAATTTTTCATTTTCTTTTTTTCGTTCTATCAGCTATCTAGGCTACAGTGGTTATCCGAATACAGAATCAGAGTGCAAAACTTATCCAACTACAAAAAGATGTAAAATAGGATACGTTATATCTACAAAATTCTTCATCGCTGCATTGGAAGATATTTTCAAACTACTGGACTGGAAAGGATACGGTATCAACATCAATGTCGTGAAGATCGACACAGGGAAACAAACCAGGAAGGAGGAAGGAGATGGGCAGCATCATCGATATATATGTATTACGTACTCCATTTGGCATTCCGAACACTCACTATGTTCAACAGGACTGTACTGCAATCTGTACACCTGTTATTGTGGCTTCGATTTTGATATTCATGCAGTGCGGAGCGGCGCTAATAATAATTTTATATTAAATTAGCACATTAGCACGCAAAATAAACGAAAATTAAAAAATGTACTCGATTAACAATACAATCTAAATAAACAATTATTTATTGGATGCGTTTGGCAGAAAAAAGCGCTAGCAAACGCTTACAAGCGCTAAAATAGTTTTCGGCCAGGACACGATCGCTACTTCAGTAGCGCTGACACAATCCGCCATTTTGCTTATTTAATTTGTTTGTTTTGAAGTAGAGTTTATAAGTTGTTTTGTGCAATATTAGTTTTAACTAATATAATGACATGAATAAACATATACATGTTATTAAAAATTCATGATTGGTAAGTTTTTAATATGAATACTTTACTAACATACATTTAAATTAGGTTAGGTTCCCCGGTTAAAACTAACATCGTGTCCTAGAGGAAAATAGCTACTTACGATTTGACAGCACTTACCGCTTACGATCGCCATTTTGCTTACAAACGCTTGCTAGCGCTTTTTTCTGTCAAACGCACCCATTATGACAAGTTTCGCGCGTTTACATCAACTGCGCATGCGCGACTCTACTGTTTCCCGCGCATGTGCGGATACAGAGTAGTGCACATTTTTTGTTTGGAATAGCTTCCCTAGTACGTAGTACATATAACTCAATGGGCAGCAGCGTCTTCTTAATAACACGTAAAGAAAAGAAACCCCAATACCTAACGAGAAGACCCGCCTGCCAAGCCCAGCAACTATAACAAATATTCATGATATACTACGAGTATATGAGGTAATCTGTAACGCTAATGACTATTTTACTCATTTGTTTGTCATTTGTCCCTACCTTTGTTGTTTGTTCCTCGTTAGCAACAGTAGTAGTAGAAGCTGTCGCATCCATTACGCTGACCTGGGCATCGTCTTGAACCACTACCCGGTGCACACCTTCAGACGGCACGTCTAATTTTGCTTGGGCGTGTAGGTGAGGTTTCTCTCCTGGCACGGAATCCGCTGTTGCATGCTGTTCAAGTCTCGAAAACAGCTGGCCGTTTGCTTTGATTGAGTCTATATAAACATAATAGTACCAATTTAAAATTTATAATTTAAAAAATGTTTGTGCAGCCTCTAGTTGTATTGACTGTAATTGATTTACAAAACCGCAAACCTAAAGCAAAAGTAGTCACTCCAAATTAATGTACACAAACTGTTCACATGTTTTGTGGCACCACAAGTTTGAAAGAATTTTTCTGCTTAGAGAAACATTTATTTAAATTATAAAAGACGATTTAATTTGTTTTAAATATATTTATCTTTCTATTCTAAAAAATAAGAAATCTTAACATCAGAAGTATGATTTTCCGATTATCCGATTTTCCATCATTAATCAACAAAACAAAACATTTTTAAACGAACTGTGGATATTTTCTTTGTGAAAATAGGAAATAGGCTTATGTAAAGCTAAGCCTAAGTGTTTTACCATCTTCGGTTTTACCCCTTCTATCAGGTGGGATAATTGATAACAACTGGCTTATATTAGATAAAAAGTAACATTTGAGCTTATGTCTTTACGTATTCTCTGTTTTATGCTTCTTCTATCATAATACTTCAATGACTATATTTTTTTATAAAACTGAAATAACAAACGCACTTATACAGTCTAGTAGCAACAGCGGTCTATAGATACCAGCAGCCAACATTAAAGAAAAAAGGTTACATATGCGTTGTTATCTCTGAGGAATAAGACAGAATGATTCACAGCCTGTTATACTGTTTTTCTCGTAGACAGAGAAACCTATAGACTAATGATCGGCGTGGCCTCGAGTGAGAAAGGACGATAACGAATTTTTAGGTTATACAATAATCTTTATGACTTTTAAACACATTTAGATAAAAAATTTAACTGTTCTAAGAACTGAACTGAACAAGATTCACCAATCTTAAGCTCACAAAACACTTTTTTCTCACTTAAACCAACTTGTAAACTCCTTAAATCGCTACGCTGTTAAAGTTGTTTAGCAAACTCTACAGTTTGCTAAACAACCTAACTAAAAAACAAAAAAACCGGCACGGAGAAAGGGACAAACAATCACACTGTTCTATCTCATTTCTATGCAATCTATCTTTTTCGTGTGCGAATGCGAAAGAAGGCGTCAATTTGTCTATAGGTTTCTCTGTCTACGGTTTTTCTATATTCTTCAGAACGAACACAGCAGTACAAGAAGGTAATAACTAACAAGACGGACTCCTATGCAGAAAAGAAGTTCTACCACCTAGTAAATTAAACCTAGTCAAGTAAAGACAAGGGTCTCTCTTATTATAGACAGTATTTGTATTAATCATAGTGCTTGGGAAGCCGATTGACGATCGCAATATCAGACGTATTTTTTCGCATCTGACACGGGGAGTGTTCCGAGGAATTGTTCGGATTAATTCCAGCCGCTCAATTTCACCATCGCAAATCGCGACAAAACTCGCGATACCTTTCATACCATCTGAATGATGGTGGTACATCATCGTGCAATTTAGAAGAAATTTTTTTCCTCATACAACTTTGTTGTGGAATCAACTACCACCAGAGATTTTTCGGGACTGATATGACTTAGAGACCTTCAAGAAAAGAGCCTACTCTTTTTTTAAAGCCAGCAACGCATCTGCACTTCCCCTAGTATTGCAATTGTTCATGGGCAGCGGTAGTCACCATCAGATGAGCCGCGTGCTCTTTGGCCGTTCTCCTATAAAAATAGAAAAAAAAGATTATATATATATATATATATATATATATATATATATATATATATATATATATATATATATATATATATTATATAAAATTCACATTCTATTTTTATTTTCAGTCACACATAAACCTTAAGGATGAAATATTTCATTAGATTTACTTAGAAATAAAGCAAAAGTTTCTGATTTATAAGAAATCTGGTGTAAAAGTTTTTCTCATTTTCTTTACTTAAATGTGTTACAAGCTAGACAACGTTGTACAAGTTTGCGGTTTTTCTATATTTCTTTGTTAGATAGGAAGATAAGTTTCATGTCGCGTCACACTAGATGTGCAATTTACAAAGCTTCCATTTTTTATGTATTTCCTTTCTATTAGATTTTACTCGCAACTTCGTTCGTGTAGAACTTAAACAAAAACTTGCAGATCTATATTAGTGACCTCTGTTTTTGTTATAATCTCGAAAACTTTATTATATGGAAAAAAAAAATAAAAATTGAAGATCTATTAATATATACATATAAAAAATTTAAGTGTTTATCGAAATACTGCTTTCTATCTGGGGTTACTTGTATTGGACGACACACACGGCCAGTTCAACCAATCATTCCAACTGATCAGTTCAAACTAGGACTGTTGATATATTCTTAAATATTCGATTTTCGATATATCGATAAATAAACTTATATATAAAACTCCAATATTGATATATTTATAATTATCGATACATCGAAAATCCGATGTTTTAAAAAATATCAACAGTCCTAGTTTGAACTGATGATTAGGAATGATCATTTCTACTGACCGCGTATATCGTTCATATGGTATTAAGATATGAATAGTTACTTTAAATTTAAATTATTATTCATATCATTTATGTCTGTCTGTCTGTCCGGGCTAATATTCAAAATGGCTGAACCAATTGAAGAAACTATAGTTAATTGAGATAAAGTAATTTGAGGTAATTGAATCCGCAGATTCTTTAAGTTGTACGTATTTAAGATTTATCGCTTTAGCTTCAACACAGTTTTGTTGTAAAATGGAATGTAAAAAAACATTGTTAAAATCGATTTTGTATCAAACTTCCATAGGCAGAAGATAAAGATAAGTAAATTATAAAGACATTTTTTGAATTAAATTGCAAACCATTTTTTTTATATCTCTTAATGTTTTTGAAATAATAATCAAAGATCATTTATTGTATATTAATTTTTCGATTCGACATTCCATATTCAAATTTTCATTACACTCTTCATGTTATTTTTTAAACACGTTGAACATTGGCCTCCCCTAAGGAATGCCACAAAGCACGGTCCTGAGCCACCTGCATCCTTCGACTTCCTGCATATCTTACCAGGTCGCCATTCCATCGCAATTTAGTGGGGGGCCGACACTTCGTTTACCGGTGCGAGGTTGCCACTCGAGAACCTTTCTTCCCCGTCGGGTGTTCATGGTTTAATGCTTGCCTTTTTATAAAGCTCTGGTGATTATTTAATCTCCAGAGCTTTATAAAAAGGCAGTTACTTCGATATTACAAACAAACTTCAATTTCATTCATATTGTAAAGATATTTCCACTTAAAAATATAAACATGCAAGTGAAAAAATAGCGAGCCAAATGTGAAATTATGATTTTTTTATAGCATTGGGTGACAAAAGAGCACACAGTTTACCAGATGGAAAGTTGATGCTGTGGCCCATAGACATCCACGTTCAACCTCAATTAGAATCAAAATGAAAATGCGTTATCACCCCTGAGAACTAAGATGGAACGCTTCAATTCCAGTAAAAGTGGTTTCCGGTTCTCTACACTCACCATACGATACACAGCAGCATTACACTGCCATTTTTCGCTGGTATTCTATGAGAGCATGGTCCTACCCCGATCGAGACGACCCATTCGTGCTACAACTATAATATAGCTGCAACGTTGCTCTACCACGTAAGAATGATTTTTCTATTCGAAACAATATTTCCATTTGGAATCCTAATTGGAACTCACAGTCTAAAGTTTATAATTGCAATTGACGGTGAAGTAAAACGTTTTGAGGAAACCTGCATATCAGAAGAGTAAAACATACCATATACATATATATGAAATCTCTGACATTGCTTCTAAGTAATTCTTTTTAATTTATTTTTCATGACCATAGAAATATTAAAATTAGCGATATTTTGAATTATGAATTCCGTCCTTAGAGTAGATACTAAGACAGATTTCATAGCACGGAAGTTAATTTGTTGGAAAAATGTAATATTTATTTATGTACTATTATTCACGTTTTATATTAATTATATTAAAAATAAATAAACCAAACCACAGATATTAATAAAAGTAGAAAAATTTAAATAAGAGTTACAGATGTGCAAAAAATTTAAGACCATACAACACAATATTAATAACCGATAAACTTTCTGACTAACTGATAAACTGATACCAGTAACGGATAAACTTTCATTTAAAACTCACTTCTTAATTAAATGATATTGTGTAACAAAAACTTCACTTCAGTGTCAATTAGCGACATCTGGTGAACGGAATATTATTAGCTCTCTTTTGAGATAAGATGTAGTATTTTTGGGAGATGTAAGTATTATAGCTAATAAAACTATATAAATTTGGCGTAGAGTAAACGCAGGAAATAGAGTAAATGGGGCCTTACACTGTATTGTGAAAAATTAGAATGTGTCAAAAAAGGCATGTATGGCAATTCACAATGCTATGTTGGTCTACTATAACGTATGGTAGTGAAAGTTGGGTGTGGCAGAAGAAGCACGAGAGTAGAATAAATGCAGTAGAAATGTGGCCGTTAAGGAGTATCATCATCATCATCATCATTACAGCCCTTCACAAGTCCACTGCTGAACATAGGCCTCCCCCAAGTAATGCCACAAAGCACGGTCCTGAGCCACCTGCATCCATCGACTTCCTGCATATCTTACCAGGTCTTCACTCCATCTAGTGGGGGGTCGCCCTACACTACGCCTACCGGTACGAGGCTGCCACTCGAGAACCTTTCTTCCCCATCGGTTATCGGTTCTTCGAGCTATATGGCCGGCCCATTGCCACTTCAGCTTACTAATCCGTTGGGCTATGTCGGTCACTCTGGTTTTACTGCGGATATCCTCATTTCTGAGTCTATCACGCAGAGAAACTCCGAGCATAGCCCTCTCCATAGCTCGCTGAGCGACCTTGAGCATCCTCATACGGCCAGCAGTGAAGGACCACGTCTCTGATCCGTAAGTCATCACTGGCAACACGCACTGGTTGTACACTTTAGTTTTCAGAGATTGAGGTATACCTGACGAGAAGATGTGTCGTAATTTCCCGAACGCTGCCCAGCCGAGTTGAATCCGTCGATTGACCTCTCGGTCGAAGTTGGTACTTACCTAGTCGGACTATTTGTCCCAGGTAAACGTACTCGTCAACAACTTCGAGCATAGTGCTCCCAACAACTACCGGCATAGGTGTGACATGGACATTAAACATGATCTTTGTTTTGTCCATGTTCATCTTAAGACCTATCCGTTGGGAGGCACTATTGAGGTCATTGAGCATAGTGCTTAAGTCCTCCAGCGATTCTGCCATAAGAACTATATCGTCGGCAAATCGAAGGTGAGTGATGTACTCGCCATTGATGTTAATACCGTATCCTTTCCAGTCCAGTAGCTTGAAAACGTCTTCCAAAGCAGCGGTGAAGAGTTTCGGGGATATAACGTCACCCTGTCTTACACCTCTCTGCAGTTGGATAGGTTTCGAGCTCTGGTTCTGTACTCGGATAGCCATCGTAGCCCTACTGTACAAACACTTCAGCACTTCGATATACCGACAGTCAACTTGGCACCGCTGAAGGGACTGCAGCACCGCCCAAATTTCGACGGAATCAAAGGCTTTCTCATAGTCCACACACGCCAGGCAAAGTGGCAAATTGTACTCTTCAGTCTTCTGTACAATCTGCCGTAGGGTATGTATGTGGTCTATGGTACTGAAGCCTTTTCGGAAACCGGCTTGTTCGGGAGGCTGGAAGTCGTCGAGTCTGTTTGCGAGACGATTTGTAATGACTCTCGAAAACAGCACGTAGACGCGGCTCAGAAGGGAAATCGGTCTGTAGTTCTTCAAGAGAGCGTTGTCGCCTTTCTTAAAGAACAAGACCACCGCACTTCTGCTCCACGCCTCTGGAGTAGTGCCACCATGGAGGACGGAATTGAAGAGCTTCTGAAGGACTTCAAGTACCGGTGTTCCACCCGCTTTCAGAAGCTCCGCTGTAATTCCATCCTCGCCTGGGGCCCTGCCGTTTTTAAGGTGCTGGAGAGCCATTCTAATCTCGCTCAGACTGACGTTCGGGATATCATCGGAATAGTGTCGGATAAGACTTGCTCTTCGGATCGTTACTCACACTTGCGTGTGTCTCCAACGATGATGTGTACAGCTGCCCATAGAACCTCTCAATCTCACTCAAAGTCTCAGGTGTCCCGGAAACGGTGCTGCCACACTCAGTCTTCAGCTTTGACAGTTGGCTCTTACGGGCAGACAGATCTCTGGCAAAGACTTTGGAGCCCTGGTTCCGCTCGATCGCTTCTTTAATACGAGCAGTATTAAAGTTGCGTAAGTCTCGCCGCATGCATTTGGAGATCTGTCTGTTCAGTTGCCTGTATGCTGTCAAATCTGTTGACGATTGCAGCCTCATCTCCCGTCTAACAGCCATGAGATTAAGAGTGTGATCGGAGAGTTTTTGTGTTCTTCTGCGGCGGGTCTTGCAGAACTTAGCTCCGACCGCATGGACAGTTTCCACGAGCTTGTCATTCATATCGTCCACTGCATTGCAATCTTCTAAGCACTGAAAGCGGTTACGTAACTCGAGCTGAAAGGTTTCGGGATTCTGGATTAGAGCACGAGGGGGACGGATCGCTGACTTCATTAGACGAGACCTCTCCAACTTAACGTTTAGGTTCAGTGTGCCTCTAACCATTCGGTGATCGCTGCCAGTTTTCACCCTTGCGATCACTGAGACATCACTGAACAGTTGGCGTCTGGTCGTTATAATGAAGTCAATCTCATTTTTTGTCGAACCGTCGGGGCTCGACCAGGTCCACTTCCTGTGGGGCCGCTTCTGGAAGAAAAAGTTCATCATAAAGAGTCCCTCTTTCTCCATAAAGTCGGCCAGCTGCTGGCCCCTTCGGTTCCGTTGCTCTACTCCAAATTTCCCTAACTTCAGCTCACCGTTTTCTCTTTGCCTAGTTTTGCGTTGAAGTCTCCCATCAACACCGTGTAGTGGGTTTTGGAGGAATGCATGGCTTTGGAAATATCCTCATACATTTCCTCCACCTCCTCATCGGAATGTGCCGAGGTTGGTGCGTAAACCTGTATGACCTTCAGCGAATACCGTTTGGTGATTCTCAGTATCAGGTACGCGACCCTCGTCGACACACTCCCAATCTTTACAACGTTGTTGACGAGAGATTTGTGGACGATAAATGCGACACCTCCTTGGGACAGATGGTCGCCCTCCCGGTGATAGAACAAGTTGCCGGATTCGAGAATCACCGTGTCCTCCCCCTCTCTTCGGACCTCGGATAATCCTATAATACTCTAGCGCAAATTGTCTATCTCTTCTTCCAGCTCCAGGATCTTCTCGTCAGTCCTCAGTGTGCGTGCGTTAATTGTTGCCAGGTCGAGTCGTCGTAGGTGGCAACCGAACCTCCACCGGAGATTCTTAGCACCCCCTGCCCCGCCGTTACCATGGTCGCCACCGTAGCCAGGAATAGCGGAGCCGCCGGGGACTGGGGGCCGTCTATTTGTGTAATTGTTCATGGGGGGGTATATTGCCATAGTTGCCACGCTTGGCGAGCGGGTTGGCAACCGCAGTTTTTTTTTGTCGTACAGTTGCTGTTATCAGGAAGATGCTGCTGCCCATCTCCTGCCTGTTTCCCTCTGTCGCCTTTTACGACACCCACGGGAAGATATGGGGTAGTGGATATTCTTAACCGCCACTACACGGCATCGGTTAAGGAGTATGTTAGGGCTGAATCTGAATGACACGGTGAGAAATTGTGTGATACGAGAAGAGTGTTGTTTGCAAGATAATGTTGTGACCAGGAATAAGAAAGGAATGCTTCGGTGGTTTGGTCATGTGGAAAGAATGAAAGAGGAAAGAGTGACAAAGCAAATTTATGTTGCAGAAGTGAACGGCAGAGTCGGAAAGGCGAAAGTTTATCGACCAAATTGGCGATATATTGAAAACGGGCCAAATTAGGAGTACCCTTAACCGACGAGCATGTATGGGTAGGTGTATGGATGTGGAGGAGGTGAGAGAGGTGTGTCAGGATCGTGCCAAATGGAAGTCTGTAGTCTCTGCCTACCCCTCTGGGTGACAGGCGTGAATGTTTATGTTTATGCATGTTTTATGGCGTAGTCAATAATGTAGTTTAATACGTTGTACCTTATTAAACATTTAAAGGTGTGGAAATGAGTCGCGTCGAGTTAGCTAATTAAAAGTTTACACTAGCCCTTGGGGGCACGTCGTGTTCTATAATCTATACGATCCATAAATACAACTCCATGCGCGCATGTAAATATATTATTATATTTGGAACTAACATTGCGATCTTGCGATTTGTACTGTGTGATATACATGCTTTCTATACATATTGAGAGATTCTATTATTCATAATGATACGTACCTAGACTGTGGAACTCCACATGCCCACTTTTCATCACAGGTACTTCCTTGCTGGTTTCGGCTGCAACAAAATTTTCAAGTTAAAGTAACTTTCAAAATATTTTTATTACTTATGTGATGAATATAAAGTTAAATGGTGTATTATAATTTAGTTATTAACCGATAACTGAAACTAACTCCAGTAATACTTTCTATGAATGCCCTAGTTCCACCGATATAAATAAGTCTGTGCCTAATTCTATTACATATTAGTACAATTTCGTTATCCGGGTCCGTATCATCAGGTTCAAATATTATTACGTTTTTCATCACAATTTTTAATCTTGATATGTTTTGGCTTTTTCTACTATTATTATTAAATATGTCTTTTTTTAATGGTGTATTTTATTTTTATAGGGTTTCAACAATGTTAAAATATTTTCCCAAATAATATTTTAAAAAGGCATTAAAAATATGCCTTTAATGACATAATATTTCGTTATAACGGATTAAAAATATTATTTCTAACATAGTCCGGTCAAATTAGACCAGAAAATAAGAGCGAAGATACATAAATTTACAACAAGCTGATAATCGGTAAAATTGTTCAAAATATAATTATAAATAAAACTTCTAAGTTCCTCACCATTCCTGTGTATGGAATATTTTTTATTCAAGGTCAAAGATCAAAAATGAGTTTTTCGCGATTTTCGGCAAAACAGTAAGTTTTATCATAAAAATACTCCACATATTATTACTGTTTACTTGGTACAAAAATATGTTGCGCACTTAGTTACGGTCAATTCTCCGTAAGTTCTTTAGACTGCGAGAGGGCGAGAAGACTAGTACTTTGTTTTGTAAATCGTGGATCTTGTTTTCGGCGATATAACAATGATTTTGTTGTATGTACTGTGACTGTATTTATTTGAATATTTTATCATTAAACCATCGAGATAAAGTTTTATTGAAGATCTAAATGTTTATTTTATTTTCAACCGACTTCAAAAAAGGAGGAGGTTCTCAATTCAACTGTTTTTTATGTGTGTTAGATTCTTACCTGATTTTTTTTTGATAAACCGATTTTGATGATTCTTTATTTGAAAGCTGATGCTTCTCATGTGGTCTCTTATAAAGTCGATCAAGATCTGACTCTTTTTGACTTATCTTTAATAATGCGTATTTTAAATTCGACTGCATTGATAATGTTTTCATTTTATTTATATTGAAGTCGGTTGTACAAAATGTTTAATTTTGCCACTTGTTATCCTTTTGTAATGTTATTGTTTCTGTCCTTCTTAAAATATTTAATGATTTACGTATTTTATATACAGAAATTATTTTTTACATTACATTTTAATATGTAATGTAAAAAACAATTTCTGTATAGTCAAAAATTTCTATATTGGTTCCTCAGCGTTGTGCATTTACATCTTGAACTATACCGAATGCTAGTGTAGGTGTATTTTGGATATGATTCATGTGTGGGGTGTCATGTATTTACGAGTTGCTAACTTTTTATTAAAATGTTTATTAAATATTAATATTGTAATTAGAGGAGTTGGGCAGAGATACATTTTATTCCAAAATACATAAATGGCACAGATTTACAAAACTGTTTGTGGTTCGTTGCGCAAACAAACAATACCTGTGTAGTTACGTAGCTTAGCGCGTGCTGCCGCAGGCCATTGGAGCTTCCAAAACTTACTATACGAAAATGTTTACTGAAACAAACGCTCCAGTGTTGCGGTTTCTGTTGATTTACTGTCGGCTAATGCGTTGTAGTAGTGCGCCCGTTTTAAATTTTGTACTAACATTATTGAATCTCAGAACTTGTTAAATATATAATAAATAATACTTAATAAAATATTGTTTACTAAAAATAAAACAAAATAAAACTTAATAAATGTTTACTTAGAATCTTAAAATGTATTTCTAGTGATGACTAATAGAACCGAGACGTGATTCTTCAGTGCTGGCCATATGCGGCAGCTTAAGACCTTTCAAAATATTTCGAACAAACAAACTCGGCGAGGTACAAACTATATTCGTGGTTTCTCTTCGAGATAAAATCTGTAAAAAAATATAGCCTTAGACGAACAAGGGCAACATTACTTGTTACGTAACCTAAGAGGTTCTCTTAATAAAAAATATATAAAATTATAATAAGTTCTAATGTATAAAGCTTGTAAGTCGAGTAAATTACCAACTTACTCGGCTTTAAATTAATCGAAGATATTAAAAAGAAAAAGAAGAAGAACGAATATATTCCATGCGAAAGAAGTTTTGGGCACAGATTGTAAATAAAACGAATATAGTTATTTCATTAGCAGCATATTTCTGATGACAACTCCAAATAATGAAAAACTACGGTTGCCATTCCGGCCGCCATATGTAGTAACTATGACAAAATCCTGTCTATGATGCAATCTATGGGAAAAGCTAGCGAAAACTTTCTAAAGCGGCCAACATGAGAGTAGCTATTATAGAAAGGTAGGGCGGATTAGCGGGCTCATTTAAAATAAATTTTAAAATTGTTGTGCTTGCGAAAAGTCGAGTAGGGCAGATTGACCCTTTACAATTAGGTCTTGGGTAGTCGTCGAGAAGACAAATGAGTGTCCTCAATGTGTATGATTATGTTTATTTGATTAATTAATTAACTGAGACTGATATTCAGAGACATTCTCAAGATCACAGTATGACAAAGTTTGAATTTAGTTTCGAGATTATCTCAGAATACCGGCCACAGAGTACATTATATATACCTTCAAATTCCGGCTAAATATAGGCCTATAAGATTTAAGAGTTTTTCCTTGAAAATCAATAAGATGTTTGACCTACTAACACAAAAATAAATCGTAACGGTGAGTGACACTGTAATCTGCTGGACGTCGAAATTGAATTGTATCGCGTACCGAAAACCTTTCCGTAAGCAAGCCGCCTTGTAAATACTTTTCGTATCTGGAAATATCTATGTTGTTTCTATTTCAAATTCAAACCTCTTACTTGGTGCTATTGATTATGCATTTTACGTAATGGTCACACCAGAGTAGTGGTTTCTAACTGCCGCTGTTTGGTCTCGAAGGCACTCAAAATGGTGAATTATATACATTCTCGAAGATGATGGTCGGTGTCTAGGTACTTTCGCTACGGTTTATTCATTTTTGAATGCAATTTATTTATGAAATGAGTTAAAAACCTTAATTATTCATAAAATGCCAATAATTTGATAGTCATTGACGACACAAAAATCGGTCAAATAATTCCTTATTACTACCACTGCACTAGATAGATTGGTTTAAGGGGAAATATAATCTCAAATGGCTTAGCAAGATCCTTCGTTATGCCCAAAATATTGCAGCATTAATTTTGAAATAAATATATGGTAAAATTGAGGATTAATGTTAAGGATTATGTTAGACGAAAACACGATTTCATAAAATTTTCGCGACAAAAAAAATCCAAAGTTACCTCCAAAATATACAATAAACCGCTGTTATTCATAAAATACTTTAAATAAGATCATGAAACTTTGCATACCAACTGAACTAACTATAAAGCAGTGCTTATGTTATTTACTTTAATATTTTACTATAAAAAGAATTACTAATATTAGTTTGGAGGTTGTTAGATGAATATACTAAATTAAAATGGGAAATAACCGTAATAAAAATAGGAAGCGACTGGCTTGGCGTTTAGAAACAGGCATAAATATGATAAACCTAATGAAATAAGTGTATAACGAACGACCTTTCTACTTACAGTATTAGTGATTACAAACATGTTGGTACATAGCATACGACGCGTGGGCAAGTGGGCACGAAATTAGAATTTGAGCTGACTTACTATATCCCCTTAATAATAATAATAAGTAATATCAATATTCACTTCCAATAAGTGTTCGAATCGCGCGCTGAATAACTGTCTGGACGTTTGTCCATGTGCAAATCATGTATTTAAAACTCCTCTATAATACAGAAGATATTCTACATTAAGAAAAAATCCTACTGTGAGAGTAACTTTTTTAATGGACTTAGACATAAAGTCTCGTAAAAAGGGTCACCTGTTTGCGTAAGTTACCTTACGAATCACAGCACAGCACAGCGACGCAATAGCATTATATTTCTATTTTACGCTGATATTCTGTAAGACCATCCCGGTTAGCTGATCTACCTAAACAACTGGAGAGTGACTTTACTATTGAAAGTATGAAAGGGAGACCGTAACGAATTATTTCTTACCATTAATAATTAGTTAGACTACTAATCATTAGTTAGAATACTACTTTGTGAATGCAAATGGGTCAATGGAATCGATAACGTTAAGGATATTAAACTTCGACACTGGATGTTCTGGTCGACCTAAAAACCTAGACATGAATATGTATAATTTTCTTGTTTATATGTTAATGAAACTGAATTTAATAATGAATATCGAGCCGCCTCGGCATTGCCTGGGAGGGATTTTTTAATGTAGCGTTATTTAGATTTAATAATAATAAAAATCTGTTTCAAACAAAAACTCCATGTTTTCAGAGTGTTTGGAAGATGGGTGCAACGCCGGAAGGAAATGAAATGAAATGAAATGTTTATTAACATACATTACATTATTGTTACAATTATTTTTGAGCTCTGAAGCCTGTGTTAGTAAAAACTGTGCTACAGGCCTCAGACTTCCCCATCTATTGTCTTAGTATTATAATGTAAGTATATTACTATTATAGTTAGTAAAAAATAAAATGAAATTAAAAAGTGATAATACGGTACTAATTCTAATGTAAGGCCAAATTGCGTCTGTGTGTGTGTGTGTGTGTGTGTGTGTGTGTGTGTGTGTGTGTGTGTGTGTGTGTGTGTGTGTGTGTGTGTGTGTTGTTCACACACGAGCGATTAAGTGATCTTTACGAACAATTCCTCAATTTCATTATAATTCAAGTCGTTAAGAGTTTGTTTTAATATTTTCTTGAATTCATGATTATTAAGGTTAATAATAGTTTTAACATTTCTGTTATTGACTGTTTTAACTTTGTTGAATAATTTATTATAAAGCATTGGTGCACAAAAATTGTAGCTTCTTCTAGCAAGCACG